AACACATCCTGTGGTTAAACTACGAGAGTTGTGTCAAAGGAAAGGATTCACATTAGAAATAAGAGATTTTTGGAAAGAGAGTGGCGAAATTGAGGTTGTCGTGGATGAAGATGTCGTGGGAAAGGCAAAATACAGTGCAAAACGGGTTATTGCTATGAATAGAGCTGCACTCGATGCCTACAACAAAATTGTTGAAAAAATTCATGGCCTTGATGTAAAATTAGTCTAATTTTTAACTTATATTTGTATTGCTATGTACATTTATGGTTAATTGTGGTCTGTAAAAAATAAAAAATAAAGGGTTGTATGACAATATACAGTTTATGAAACTATTATTTTGTTAGTTTTTCAACAAATATACATACTTTTTCAATGGTTATACACAACACAACAGTATTGGAACTTGAATTTCTAATAGGAAGTCTTAAGGTGTGATTCGAGGAAAAACCAAACATTTTTTTTATCAATATAATTAAATAATATCAATCAATTTTTTTTTTATCAATACAATTAAATAATATAACCAATAATTCTTACACGTCAAAACAATTTCACTTCACTGTTCATCTCCTCACATAATTTACCATCACTTCGCATAATCTCTCTCATACTTTTACATCAAATCAACTTTAATTATTTTAATTTAAATATTATTTTAATATAAACTTAAAATATAAAAAACAAGTAACCATACGACATTTTTCAAAATCAACTATGCTTAATAAAAAAAAAAACCAAACAGAACTAAATCAAATCCATATCCAATCACACTCTTATCCCACAAACATAATGGCATAATGTCTGACAAGTTCTTTAAATACAGGTACACAAGGTGCAAGTTTTAGGCAGCACAATAAGAATAATTTCAACATTCAAATGCGAGTGAGCTAACAAGCTCTCAGCTGACAGCACAAATCCAGAATTTTCAAGAAAGATTAGTTGTTCTGATGGACCGCAATTCGGTGTATGTCCATATCCTTCAACATCACCGAACGGCCACAAGAATCGCATGGCGCAGTCCTCGACCCGCATAAACTCTCGTGTTCTGATAATCCTCTCATTCGGTCTCGAGCATCTATAGCACAAGTCCCGGCCTGAACCATATCTCCACAAAACCGGCACGTGATTAGCCTCAATGGACAATCTGAGGACTGGTGTTGCACCTGCAAAGAACAATAGAAGAAAGAACAAAAAAAAAACAAAAAAA